CCCAATTCTCTACTTCTAACCTCATCGCCACGACTAATTTGGTCATTTTGGGTGAATTCTTCTTGGATGACTTCAACAGTGGGATACCAGTGTTTGTTATGCAGCTTCTACTCCGATTTCCCAGAAATACTGTAGAACTGACCACTTTATTTCCTTGAATAGTTTGCCGTAATCAGACTAATGAATATAGCTCCGAAGCAAAATGACGATGAGTGCAGTGAATGCAAAACGTTTGTGCACTATACGGAAGCTCACTTCATCACGTTTACCCTTATTTTGAATGTTACAAGTTAAACAAATCAGCCGGGGTTGATGCTTCCCTGGATAACAATTTTCTAGTGAAATGACTACAACCTGTAACGGGAGTATGATCGCGATGTGTGTTTGCACGTTACTTACCGTAATTCTTCTTTATTTTTCGCTTATGAACATAAAGGTTTACTGTACTATTAGGAATAAACTGCAACTAGACTCTGAGTCTTGAAGTGGAGAACCAAATGAGGTCTCTATAGGTCAGTGTGGTAAAGGGACGAAGGACAGTGGATTACCGTCTACCGCCGAATAATAAAATCCGCAAAGCCAGGTATTCCTTGCCAGTCACCCATGCAAGCATCAACCAGGTACGACGTTATGTAACTTCGATGATCAGATGAGAACCGGTGTTTCCAACCTGGTATGGTCGCGGTGTGTTCCAGTCGAGCAATCACATAACCACACTTGTCCATAACGCAGTCATTGACTATGAATTCAAAAATGATCGCACCTGTTTATGAACAAGTCGTGTTTCATCGATGCTGTTTCATGGCTTGAACAATAGTATCAAAAACCTGATTCAGTTTGCTGGCTTGAAATAAATACCAAAATCTATAGGAAATTGACGCATAAGGAAATTGAAGTACCTACCCTTAGTCGGACTGATAAACTAATGTTGATCATACGCACTCAGTCAGTACTCACCTTTGAGTCTTCTGTAGATTATTCCTAAAATTATGGTAAAGACGAAATAAAATCCGTTGTCTGAGAGTTTACCGTTATCCCTCGGAACTATGGTGCGGAGCATCACGATGTTTTTTCCCTGAGAGTAATGAGCTTTAAATTGATTGTAGCAACATATTTTCAGTGTGCATTACTACAAGTGGTGAACAGCAAAAGAAAGATCTAATTGCTGACAAATTTAGCTTTTTATGATGCAAGAGCGTCTAAAGTAACTCACTATCAATACGTTTAGCGTATAATACTGAAAGTAATGAAACATTTCGAATAATTAAAGCCATTTTGTAGTCGTAATTTCAGTTTTGTGATGCATGGAAAACATTTTACGTCAGCGAAATTCAAAACAATCTCAAACGTGAGATCCTTTTTCAGCTTCATGGGCATATCAACGGAACGAACTCTGCTTAACCAACCAACAACTATTTTGTGCAAAAATATTTAAAAGTAGACATCCTCAGAAGTAACTTGGATGACAGTCTGAAGTTGAAATCTATCGGGGTGTGATAAGAACTTCTCTAAAACCAGAGGAACGATATGTATTACCGCTCGTCCGCTTCGGCATCACATGTTGATTCTTTTTCACTGGTTACGAATTTTCGCAAGTGCCTAAACACAGTGTTTCAAGTGCTGTTACATATCCTATATACGCAGGATACAGGACGAGTGCAGTGGAAGTTCAACTTCATAATGAAAGTAACAGTTAACCTGATACTGAGACTTGCGGTGGAAGGCAAAACAAGCCCAAAAAATAGCTGAACAAATAGATACAAATCTGGATCAAGGTATCTTTATTGTCCATAGTGTGTCACGTGAGCCATGTCTTTGCGCTTTCGTTGTGGGACTCATTTGAATTTGTCTTCGGGAAATAAAATAAAAAGATTTTCGGAATCCACTTTCTGGAAGTACCATGTTCATATACCAGTTGGTGAATCCTCATTCACTTAAATGTTACCACTCTTTAGCGATGCATTCTTACGACCGTGGACCGGTTTCGGCTCTAGTTTCAAATGGTTACAACATATTACCAGTTTACCTTACTTCATAAGTTAAGTTTCTATTCAATATAAACTAGTTTCGAGAGGTAATCTGGATTGACATTTTTTCTTTCTGATTTGTTTTCAACACAAAACTTCGAAATACTTCTAGACAACTCTTGATGCGTCCAACTTTACCAGAGCAAAACTCTTGAATACTTGGGAAGTCCCTAACAAGAAAAGTTTGGTTAAACTACGCGTGAACATCTTCAGGTATTTGATGAATTGGTCCGGCTTCAGTTCAACAGAACGTTTCCTGTGGTTGTGTGAAGACGTTCTTGTTATCACAAATTATTTCACGTCTGTATTCTAATAAGAACAGATGGTTTATTGCATGGTTTGTAAAATTCACATGAAACAACTTGCATTTGAAGAAAAAGGCTTGGTATACTAAGTGTAAAGGGGTACGGTACTTGAAAATTAGCATAACATTTATCAAAGCAAATAGAAAAAATGATGGAAAAATTTAAAGTGGGATATGAAGTAACCGTCACAGTGACAATTCAGAATGTTACAAATGCACATGTGGTGTAGTTTCATTGGACCGATAACCTAATCCATTCCGTTACTAGTAGATTTCTTTAAATGGGAACTTATAAATTTCACGTGATCAAAATATGGAACGGAGCCTTTCGTATAAATCGTTTGCCTGTCAGTTTTTACTTAATTTTTTCCATTATAGATATCTACCACTAAATCAAGGTTACTCTGCCTGGGATCAGAGAAACAATAAAAAAATACCGCAGTGCAGTCAAAGCATGTGCTTGTTTAAAGACTGCTGATATTGGCCAATGAAAATAAGTTAGAAGGAAATATTTTTTGCTAATATTGAATGGTTAGGTAAGTGTTTGCACGAAAGGCTAAAAAATGCTTAACAACGATGAAATCGCTTCTTAAATTTGCAGTTATTTATCTTTCACACGCTCAAATGTAGTATGCCAGCACATGAAATCAAACTCAAAATACTTCATTTACTCGGTCAGTTTGTCCGTCGATCGTTCAGTTGATCAACCGGTCGGTCAGTCAAACGGCGGACAAATAGAGTTGATAGGCAAGCATAATTCAGGTTCACTGCTATTAACTTAAAAGAACCTCACAGTCAAAACCAAGGTTATCGTCCATTGCTGATGGAAGTGTAAGGGCTAAAAGCAACACCTTTCCGACCCGGGGAGGAGGACTTCCAGGTCGTTCTACGGGGTAGGTCATGGGATGGAACATTTTGCTTTGGGCTGTTACAGAACACTCCTCTTTGCTATGCGGACTTCCTGACCTACTAATGGCGGATTTTACTTTATTGATGTTTGTGCTCCTAAAAAATCAGAAGTAAGTAAAATCAACGCGCTAAATTATGACGGGTCTTGGGCTTTTAGCAACCAGAAAGGATTTATAGGTCTGCGCAGTGTACTTATTATCGAACGAGCATTCTAGCACTCATGCCGTGATCGAGTGTATTTGCCATGTCATTGATGAAGTGCTAAATAAATGTAAAAGTTGGAAAAACTAACTGAACTACAAAGTTTTGCGGTCATTATTGGGAATCTTTCGGTATCGTAACTTTGACAGTTCCCAATTGGTTAATTCATTCACGAGGCAGTACATTTAGCCCCATTTGTCGTTAAATTTGAATGTAGTGATTTGGTTTCGTTTTAAGCGATCACGCTGTACGATACAACAAAGCAGCAGTGTGAATATAATACAATGAAAATCAGTTATCCATACAAGGACCGGGCAAAATGATTCTCTTCATCACGGAAATGAAACATCGAGGACCTAGACTCCATAAAATTAACGTAATTACTAACTGATTCTTACATGCACCTAGGAGTGTAACCAACACGTCATTATATTCACATTTGAAAGAGTTTTTTGTAACGCACGACGAATGGTGGAATTTCATAGACTTCGTCCCACAAACATGAAACTAAGAAAGAAGAGGGGTCGATTTATTATAAGTTGAATACGTAAGTGAAAGTGCGATGTGCAGTGAAATTTTTCATGACTCACGTTGAACAAAAACTTTCAATCCTGAAGACATGTTCGAACAATAAATATTTTGGTTCATCCGAATTATTTTCTCAGGGAGTCATAGGTGGGTTCGTTTTGGAGAAAAATGTGGATTTGGCTGTTAGTGTCTATTGACTGACCTTATTTTTTGTTTTTGAGTTTCACTTGTTGGACCAGTGTCATTTTTAACCTATATCAGTAGGGCATCGGTGACTCCTTCAAAGCTAACAGTGTGCATTAAAAATGGAGGCAGGTTAGCTGAAAAGCCATGTTGGCTTGGGCTGAGTGTTACACAAAACCTTATGATCTCTGAACAAATTTTCGGAGACAAACAGTTTTTTTAATGATTCATTCCATAGTCTGTATGAATGATCTTGGGAATTGGTGTGTCAAAAGGGTCAGTGGTCATCCGGATAAGGAAAAATAGGTTGTGTTTGTGGGGAGACAATACGTTGTGATTTGATCGGTGCTCTGGTCTGCACGATATGGTCGTGACAGTCTTATGGTCCGGATCTGAATCATTAGGGTGGGAAAGGTCGCATGGACGCAAAGTTATTTGGAGGGTATGAACGAACTTCATCTGTCTGAACAGAGCAAGTGTCAAAAGACAGACGACAATCGCCTCCGCAGTGGTCATTATTCGTAAACGGAGGTTCTGATTTCGGAAATTGCATGTTTAGAGGCTTTATTTACGGTCTGCAGGCCGTATCGAAATGAACTTTTGCTCCCAACCAACCACTGAATATTTACTTACCCGTTGAACTAAAAGGTTGCTATTAGCTTTTTGAGTTTTTGTTTCCATATACGGATGACGGCTTCCACTGACATTGAACATGGATATATGGTTCAGTGTACACAATACAATGTACACCAAGATATTCAAAACCTTTCTAGGTGTTATATAAGGAGAGCAGATTAGTAGAGAAGCAACGTTTACAATTGTGGTGAAAATAAACTAGTAAGACTTACTCTCCATTATTATACGGATCACTGCATTTAAGAAAAGAAAACAATTCTTATTTGTGTAAAAGTGATCATTTGTTATTAAATTCGTTAGGTGTCAGTGGATATAAAAAGAACGACAGACTGGCTTTTATGGGTATATTCATAAAATGGGTTTCCTGGTAGTAGTTTAACAAAAGCAGTTCGAGATCAGGTTGAGCTCCACATCACGATTAAGGGCCATTTTTACGGTTTATCATCTCATCAATTTTTCTAATAACGGAAGATGCTGTTGCTATTGTTAGGTAGATGCTTTTGACGAAGTGTTTGTCATCCAGTTATAATGTTGAATTCCAGACCTACAAATTGGTACGGCTGCTGCACGTACAGTTAGAGCTAAGCCTCTCAAATCCGAATTAATAAGGGATGGATCATTTGGTTAGTCCTTGAAGAATCTAAACGTATTCCAAGTTCCAAACATCGATGGGTGGCATTATATCTCGGTAATGGTTTACTGTTATCCTGTTCTGGAAACTCGCAACCATGATTATGCTAGCTTGTTCAATAGGGTTCGTTTGGGAGCATTTTAATTTCTGATAAAACTGGAAGGGAATACATAAAATACAAGGGAATAAACTTTGGTGCCTCTTAGACCGAGTACTTTAGGTATGCAGATGTGAAAGCCAACGTTTGCCTTAGTTTTGATTTCGGTTTGAGCATTGCTAGTTTCAAAAAATTGAACAACAAGTTTACTTCTGATTTTTAAAAGGACACTTGAAACTATAAAATCCTTCACACTTACATACGTGGAAAATGGAGAAGCCAGGCTGTACACTGAATTGTGCAGCTTTTACTACGGCGTTTTCATGGACCCCTGATAACTTCACTTGGCGTTTATGTGAGTGGCTTTGGTCACTTTGCACTGACGAAAATCCCTCGGCATATAGTGGAACGTTTGCAGCGCACATCTTATGCTCAGTCATCAGTCAGTAGGAGAACGTTTTGTCCTGAGCTAAGATGAGCATGTTTTCAAAATTATTGCCGTATGACGCTTCTTTTCAACCAATGATTTGTAATATATATATATATATATATATATATATATATATATATATATACGGTAAAAAGTAGTATGTGGGTGGGCAAAATCTCCCCGGTTATTGTGATTATTGCCGCCCACTGGTTGCTCTTGCCGGTATCCCACTGACCATTCATTTTCATAATTGTTCACCCCTAGATGAATCGGTCACAAGGATTTACCTTGGTGCTTCACAGATGTGGAGTGACACACTTCGGGAAAGAATACATAAAATAATAACAGCTATTTCGTTTAAGTTGTTTGTGTGTACGTTACTGGCCCCTCGTCTATCAACATACTAATCACTGAAGATGTATCTGGTTCCACATTAGGCCTTATCATTCTTTGGACTAGCAAAGCACGTAGATTCCAAGAGATTTATCAAAATGACCTAACTCAATCTCTTTCAATGGGAGTCAAATAAATAACTACTCCTTTGACAACCAGTTTCACACCAGAACAAAAATCAAGATATAACTGGCATAAAATTCCTTCGGTTTGATCAAGACGTGAAATGCAATAGACTGCTTTGTTATTAGGACTGCACGTCCTCCTCACCAACACAGTAATTTATATCCTTGAGTATCTTTTGGACTTAACAACAAAGAAAGTATGGATGAAAACTCACACTGTTGCTTCTCCAAGTCGATGACTAGAAATAAAATGAACGAAAGTATGCACTACTGTAGTACACTTGAGACGGTAATAATATTCGTTCAAAAAAACAGTTACACGGGTAGCTTTCTCTGCTCACTACAAATTGATTTTTGTCCGAACGGTCTCGCATAACATCTAGAGGATAACACAAGGAGAAGTACAATTCCGTGTTCAGCGATTCCTATTCACGGCATCACATCAGATTTTTATTGAATAGTGCCAACTGATCAACTCGATGCAGACGATGGTGGGATGGGTCGATAAAAGCGAGAAGGAGAGACACAAAATCTAGAGCTAAACTGCGGATTGAAGTAACTGATATGAAAAATAAGATGCAGTTGTAAGATCTGGAATCGCTAAGAATAGCATTGTCGTTGCAACAAATTAATTACTATTCACAAATATTTTAGTTCAGCAATTCTGTGATGCTCTGGGACTGATGTTTGAGGATAGACGCTACGAAAGACTGCGTTAACAGCAAATACGTGCACACGAAATGTTGAATATTTCCCATTATTTGATTGCAAATAGCAGTGGAGCCAACGAGATGGCATCCGAGGTTCTGTTTGGGTACTTCGAATCTCACGGCCTCTGATGCTGAACCTCAAAATATGTGCCGTTTAAAAAACTTACTTACTGAGTGTTACGTTGAAAGGTAAAACTCACGAAAGTATTGTGCTGAGCCTGTGAATAACGTAGGATGAAACGAAAATACGCATGGTAGAACGAATAAAGGTTTTGGCCTGTAGGCTGTCTTCATGAAGATAATCGAAGAAAGCTCAGGGTCCGGCGAATCAGGGCATTTGAATTCCTGTACAGAAATTATGTTGAATTCTATGAAAAACTTGTACATCCCTACCATCTGTTATGGTTCTCTAACTGATGTATTTTCGGAGAAAAAGAATTGCACTATTTAAACTAATGGACCACAAGAAGCGAAGTATTCCACAAAATAACAATGAGACTGGTGTTCCTAAAAAAATAATTCCATGAACACATTTGGAATTAAATTAGTAATCTCTTACTCGTTGATAATCCCTATTTCGTGTCAATATGGATCAAGCTGTTAGTGGTGCAGTTTCAAAGTACCGTATATCATATTGGTGACAAGAAAAAACAGTAATTTCTCCTTCTTTGAATATTTGTGTCACACTGAAAGTACATTTTGGTCACTGTGACTACTGACACTGAGCTGGGTGCAGAAGAAGAACTGCTTTACAAAATAACACTAATTCCGCATCCCTCTATGTTTGGTGGAGTAGGCTTACTACTTACTGAACGAGTGAGTAGGTGGTTGCTTCAAAAACAATTACGGACTACCATGATGAGATAACCGACGTAATTAACTCACATGGAGTGAACGTAATGAGGTGAACGATACAGAACCCACTTGGCTGCAACATTTGATCGAATTGCGACTGTCCCAAAGTAGGCTGGGCAATTATGATGACAATAAGCGTTGTTGGTATACTTGATTGATTTTGGTGACCTCCGAAAGAGTGATCTCAAATGCAAAGCAAATTTACCGAGCACGTCTTGTACAATAAAACTTCTGTACTAACAGGTTCGATCAGCGGATATAACACAATACCCTTATAAGATGAAGAATTACAGTGGTCTTCGTGGTAAAAGGACAGAACGTATCAATTACTGACGGGCTCGGAGAACATGATTAAATAAGTTGATTAGCACAAATTCGCTGAAGGCTGAAAGCTTAGAAACAGGATAATGATCCTGGATTTCAGTCAGGATGGCCACTAGATATATTGTATGAAGCAATTTATTGATCATCTGGGGCTTTTCTTCTGAAATACATTCTTCAACTAGTTCTTCCAGAGTAATCATCACCGCAACTGCATGTGCAGTGATATGACACGTTACCGCCTCACCATATCTGTCTTCTTTACATACGGTCTTATTTGACTAAGGGTTCTCAGTATTCCAAGAATTATGTCACTCAAACGGCCTGTCACAACAGTATTCCGAATGGGTGATCTGGATGAAGAACGGCCACTTGATTATACTGTTCACGGAAAATACATCCAACTCGGTGAGGGAGGTACAATTAAGACAAACTTGCAGTCCAAAGTAGGATTATGAGTAAAGGTTTAATTATTGCTCACGCTGGCAGTGGTATTCGACTACAGAGGCTGTGCCGGTCAAAGCTCCACCCGAAAGGCGTTGTTTAAACTGAAAGGTAAGCTCGGATGTAAGTGACCGAGCCTGTCACACTTTGGGTAGACATACGTATCAACCGATGGGGAGTACAGAGAGAAAGGTCACCTATCAGACCGCTGTCAGCGTCTTCCACTTCACTTCATTTGATGAACACATTATCCAGTCGGCCGACCAGCTACGTTCGCTATGATTGTCTTTGCCACTCATATCCGCCTATTGCAGTTTAACAATGCCATTGCTTTCTTTGTGCAAGCACGATAAGTTAATCCGTTTCCTGGGGCTTGTGTGGTAAAAATATAGATTTTCTGAACCTATCACCGGTAACATTATCTCTGATACTGCAAACATTAACTATTATCTCAGGATGTAATTGATAAGACATGGATAAATCTGCTCAGAAATAAATTGTGCAACTTTACTCTGCTGTGTTCTCTTTTCAAGAATTGGTAGTTAAAAGTCTCTGCTCATCTGATTGACACTCTTCCAACTGAACCTGTTGATCAGAATTTGAGTTTTGTTTAACCCACTCCGGCAAAATAATCCATGACCCTACTCATCCGTTACACGAAGACTTATTCAATCGTCCCCGTTCATCCATTTTTTCCACATTCGGTCACTTTACCTCTTTATCAAATGTGTATAAGTTCTCCCTTACATAAAACTTGACTTGAATCCTGGCTAATGTGAAGATGAAAGTGATCTTCACATATATTCATGATTTTTGCACCGAATTCCAAACCAATTTGTCAAAACTCCCACAGTGAACAAAATCCTTTCTCGCTGTCTGTGCTTTCTTCATGTGCTTTTCAACTTACATCTGGAGGGTATCTCCAATGTTGTCACCAACGATTTTGTGTTTGGTTCAGACCCAGGGGCCTGGATCAAGTGCACTGCCCTAGTATCCGAAATACCTCCACTCCGTGTATGTTTATTCGTCTGTCCTCTCCCACTATGTCACACGGTTTCTGTGACAGTGTGGATCGATGTTAACTATCCCTAACCCCATCCATTTTCCGTTCGTTGTTAGTCTTTTCTTTCCAAGTTGCTTCTTAACAACCTATGGTTTATAACCCGGCACTGTTTGTGCATCCTTTGGTCGAGTTGTGTCCTTCCATCCACTGTTAAACTGGTTTTTTGAGTTTATTTGTGTCTTTCAAACTTACTTATTCACCAATTCCCAGGACAGCGTGATGAGATCTGTGCACTCATACTCGTATTTGTGTTTGATCCGTTTGTGGGCTTTGTTTTAGCTTTTTGCTTTCCAATCCTGCTCTTTTCCACACCATCATTATTGTCGTTTCAGGCTTATTGATTCGAAATCATAATTCATATCTGTTATAAGGTCTGTTCAATGAACATTTCCCTTGTTCCTTTGTCGGGGTCGCGTTCGCTCTCTTTCCCTCCATTCTCCCTGTGTCGTGTGAAATAAGCCACCATTTCATATTGTCACTTTCTACTGATCGTGATTGGTCATATTTCTCCACATGTATCAAATAGTTGCCCTCCTTTATGTTTGTTGCTCGACTTTGTTCTCGACCGAGCTGATAGCACTTTCTAACTCATTCGACGAATGATCTAATCTTTATCGACTGGTCTGTACATCGGGGCCAAATTGCCTACCGATTGAGGCATCCATTCATTAGTGCTTGGTCGCGGTTTTCCCTACAGTACACATAGTTTAGAGGCTTCTAATTCTATGACTGAGTAATCGGGGTTCATCTTATACGAGTCACTCAACTACTGGACCAGAGTCCGGTGTAATTAGCACAGTTCTGTAATGCATTCTCGCTCAATGAAAGCCACTGCAATTGAAAATTATTTATATCTACCAAAAAATTCCACCACTAGTGATAGCATGTGCATTATGATTGTTTTTTCTGACTGAAATGACCGCGCACACTTTGCACAGATCTATCATGATTACATCAATTTTTTTTAATTTCTAACAAAATTGATGATGCAAAGAAGACAGTATAAACTAGCTTTCAATAATATTACTGGAGATATTTTTGTGAGATGAGGGTTCCAAATTTATTTGCAAATGTGTTTCTTTACAAAGCTTTAGCGGCTCTACCACGGTTTTGTTAAAGTTCAACAATGAGCTGACTCATTCCGTGATGAATTCGTTCGCGGAAATTTTCAAGGAAAAGCTTGGTTTACCTGAAGCCTACCTCTGAATGCCCTGCCCATTTTTAAATGTAACCTGATGTTTGCAAGTAAGTCGTAGGAGCCAAATACTTTTCCTCGCAATGGAGAAGCTACTTCGTGAATACAAGCTGGATTGAAGGCCTTATGAATGTGGGATAAGACGGTGCACAACAAAGATAGGCTTCTTTTTGTTTTATATGTTACTGTTTTGATTACTACTATAAGGGCTGAAAGCTGTAATCCTTATGTTAAAGAAAGTTCCTTACGGGCTGCTTCGTGAGAATCATTATCAGAATTTCCACAAAGACAACCGGAGCTAAACGTTTCCGTAACAATACATTCAGGAATAGCCTTCAGAACAAGATGTTTTATCTCTAGGTGCATGCAAAGCTAGGCCGGAGGTTATCATCATGGGCAGTAACGACCCGGGTTTGATTCCCGTCATCGCAATATGGCGGCCTTTCATCTGTCACGACTCCCTCCTGAACTTTCGTACTCTGTTTATAATAAGTAGGGAAAGGAATAAAAATGATACTTTTTATTTTTAGTCTCAGCTAAGAAGCCACAGTTTGTGACGAAAAGAAGCGGTTGCATTTCTTCTTTAGTTGAAAGCATATTGATATTGATTTTTATAGTTTTAGCTCACAAACTTTTGACCTACATATCGGC